TCTGCTCATTGACTATGCGCTCAAAATTAGCAGGCAGTCCATCCGCCAGGGCACGAGAATCATCGGCAGAGATCACATGATCAAAAAGCGCCTCCCCCTCAGAAAGCGCCTCAAGTTTAATGCAGCGCTTCTCCTGACTTGCCTTACAGCCATAGCAATCAGATCGGCAGTCGTTACCGCCGTCAGTCGATTCGTCGCACCTTCGACGTCTCCGAAACGTATACCATCAAACTCAATCATTTTAGCATTAAAAGTCTTCAACACTGGTTCAAGTCAATCTAAAAGACTAAGACTGTACTTAATACAAACAATTCTGTGTTTTAATAAGGAGATAGATTTTAATAAGGAGATAGATGTTAAAGTATACAAGGAGGACTTAACTTCAAAAAGAGCTGATGAAATCAGATCAGAAGACATCTGAGAAAAAAGAAACCGCATTGCATCTTGTTAGGTAGAGGCGAGAGAAAAGGCGGCGGTGACACCACCAGCTGAGGAGGCAGCAGTAGTTCCAATCGGGGGTAACGATGATCCACCTTCAGTTGCAATAATAGGAAAGCGAGCATGAGAGAAGCGCATACTGTTGCTCAGCATCATAGAAAGCGCATGGATACTTACGCGAAATAAAGTATTTATTTCATGTAATTTGCTGCATGTCGACTGACTCATATTTGAATAAACGATATTAGAAATAGTATTAAGAAACATGTTTACGCGTAGGATCCACAAGGCACGTAGTATTTTAACAGAATAATTATTTATATCTTCGATCGTCCTTCAAACAAAAGGAAATGAATGACAAATATCAATAACGATATAACGGCTAAGTTTGATTATAGAATTATGACATGATTATGGAATTATTACATAATAATAGAATACTTCAGATAGATAATGAAAAAGCACGTAAAATTAACGCAATACAAACACACTAACAAAATAACGAGATGCGAAAGTCATATTATTCACTTACAGAAATACATTTCTGCCCGCTGACCAGCATTCGCCAACAGTTAAAAAAAATGAGATATTACAATAAGCACCTACAGTTGCAATAAGACGTGAAAATATACAGTGAACTATTAAATACAAGCGCTTGTCACAAGCGAGAAAGCGGAAAATTGAGCAGTAGGGCGAAATCTGAACGAAGCGGCGAGCAGATATATTGACAGCACAGAGATGTTGACATCACACGAGACTCCAAAAAATTTTGATTCATTAGTGTGAGAGGCTTTGGATCGGTTACGATTAATATTAACATGTGCTAGCGAATACGGTTTGATAATTAATTTTTAAAAATGCCAGTTTATGAAGAAGTCCATAGAATTTTTAGGTCATGTGATAAAAAACGGTAAAATATACCCTTCACCGGAGAAAATAAAAGCAGTAATTGATTTTCCTAAGCCGAAAGGATTAAAAAAACCTTCAAAGCTATTTAAGAGTGTCAGACTATTCTAGAAAATTTATTCCGTTTTATTTAGTAATAACTAAACCACTGTTCGAGATACGGCCAACATGTACATAATTTCCATATTTGGCGTTCGTGCGACATTCGGATCGAAAGCTTCTAGAAGGATCTCAAGCGTCTTTAGAAGTTTCCAAAACATAAACTCGGCTATCACCTCGTCGATAAAGTCAAAAAACAATAAGCTAAGCCGCACGTCGCACGTACGCAGATCTCAACCGCTATAACGGCGAACCAACTCGGATCGGTCGCGGCGCACGCGCGATCGCGTGACGCAAAACGCGTAATATGCGTTCATCCCAATCAAGAATCCAGATTTAACGGGCGCATGGCAATAGCGTGCCGCTTGGCCGTTGCGCTCGAAATCGCCAATCGCCACCCGAAACAGAGGATCACTTCAAATTTTTCAATTTGCAAAAATCTCATAGGCGAATGCAAAGGGAAGCCTTTGTTCTCAAAGGAGCATAAAAGGGGAACCCGAGAAGCAATAGCTCTTAGTTTTCCGCCGTTTTGAGTCAACGCTTCGCTATCAGTGCACCGCCAAGGAGACGCTCCGCCGCTAGAAAACCGCCGCGTTTGATTCGCAAAGAAAACCGCCGAGTTTGATTCGCAAAGAATATTATTGAATTGAAGCGAAATACAACTAAACGCCGTATCACTTAAAATTTCACGTCAGCGCTCTCGCTCTGATTCGCTCTCGAACAACCACTAACTGATATGCTAGAAAGAAGTGACCGTTTGATTTTGCCGATAGAGCGGAAAGTGCATTTATACAATTAAAGACAATACTAACGCAAAAATTAGTTTTGAAAATATACCAGCCACGACATGACACAGAACTGCACACTGATGCGAGCGTAGACGGATACGGGGCCGTTTTATTAGCATTTACCGGAGGATGGTTTGTTACATCCTGCGTATTATGAGTAGGAAGATGAAAAACGAAGAAAGAAATTACACTAGCTATGAGTTAGAAATGTTAGTCATAGAAGCACTCAAGAAATTCCGCATGTATTTGTTAGGATTGCGATTTAAGATAATTACTGACTGTACGTAATTACATCGGCGTTCCAACGCATGAGTAAGAAGGACTTGACTACGCGTATAGCTAGATGGGTTTTCCTTTTAGAGGACTATGATTATAGCATTTAACATAGATCGGGCACGCGCATGAAACATGTCGATGCATTAAGTAGGCATCCGATGATGACAATAATGGGTCAATCAATTTCGGAACAAATTAAAATTCAGCAGAAGCAGGATCATGAAATTAAAGCTCTGATAGAGATCGCTAGAGATAAGACGTATGATAATTATCAATTAAACAACGGTGTGCTTTATAAATTCCAAGACGGCCGAGACTTATTTATAATACCCAATTCGTTAGAAACAGACATTATTCATTCGATACATGAAAAAGGGCATTATGCTGCGAAGCGAACCGAAGAAATTATTTCCCAAGAGTGTTATATTCGTGATTTAAATCATAAAATAGAAAAATACATAGCAAGTTGCGTACCATATATTTTGTCGAATCGTAAAAAGGATAAACGTGAGGGATACTTACATCCTTTGCCAAAACCAGACACACACTTACCATGCGGATCATTCAGGTTCTTTAGAGACAACTAGCCAAAATTATATTAGGTGTACAAATAAATTTCCGCCGTTTGACCAAAGACTGCGCCACTAGCAAGCTATGATTCAAATTGTCTGATGTAAAACATTATATCGTAAGGTTGGACATCTGTCAACAACATAATCTTGAAATACTAGCGATTTTGTATCAGCATCATACATTTTTTTTGTGCGAAAATGCCGAGTTTTGAGTCGAATAAGCGTCATTTGCGGGAACTTTTGATTTATTTCTTTAATTTGAATAAATCTACAGCTGAGGTTCATCGATTGTTTGTAGAAACATATGGTGAGGCTTAAGTGAGAGAAGTTGTCGTGAATGGTTTCAAAAATTTAAGAACGGTGAATTTGACGTCGAAGACAAAGAACATAGCGGAAGGCCGAAAATGTACGAAGACGCAGAATTGGAAGCATTATTGAATGAAGATTCGTGCCAAACGCAAAAAGAACTTGCACTTACACTTTGACTTACATCAATAAAACATTATGTATCGTTCTTTCACAATAAATGCTTAATTTTTGATAAAAAACGGCGGAAACTTTGTACACCTAATAATTACATATTGGCCATTATAGACAGCTTTACCAAATTCGTTTGGCTTTATCCAACTAAGAGTACTACTACTTATGAAGTTATAAATAAATTAGATGCGCAAAAACAGATATTTGGAAATCCCAAACAGATTGTAACTGATAGAGGAATGGCGTTTACGTCCAAAGAGTTTAGCGATTATTGTAAAGTTATTGCGATTATACTCATGTGACGATTACAACTGGATTGTCTGGAGCGAATGGATAGGTCGAAAGACTGAATAGAACAATTATATCGTTCTGTTCAAGTTAACAATCGAGAATCCTAGTAAATAATTCAAACACGTCGGAAAATTACAACGAATATTAAATTTTATCTATCACCGCAGCATCAATACTACCTTTTGACTTATTATTTGAAGTGAAGATGCGCGAAGAAACTCAAATTACGCGAAATAGGAGAACAGAACCTTTCAAGTTCAACCTCAATTTGAAGTAGAGCGCGATGAGTTAAGAAATAGAGCGAAAAAACAGATCCTTAAGGTACAATCTGAAAATTGTAAGACGTAAACCTGCGAGTAAATACAACGTAGATGATTTAGTGACTATAAAGCGAACTCAGGTTCAGGTAAGAAATTACGAGTGAAATACTTAGGTCCATATCGCATTCAAGAAACTAAACCGAACGATACATACGAGTTGTTAGAGTGGGTGAGCACGAAGGACTTAATACATACATCTACTTGTGGAGAATATATCAATCCCTGATAAATATTAAGATATAAATAACATTAAGTATAAGCAACATTAAATATAAGTAACATCAAATATGAGTAAAATTAAATCTAAAGTATACGATAAATCTAAATTTTATAAAATTATTTGTGTTTATTATACGTATGTAAACATAATTAAATTTGAGTTTAAGTTTGTATTGTATCATACAAGACGCATGATTAATCAAAATGGCCGAATGTGGGAAATTATCCCAGATTTTGTGAAAATCGTTCAACTGATACCTCATAGAGGACGCGAATGTCGCGAGTAAGCGTGACTGGGCCGAGAAAAATCAATTGCGCGCGTAGCGAGAGGAGGCCATTGTTGTGTTTATGATCCGTTTAGAAAGTATATTGCGTTGAACTCAGTTCTGTCACTTAGAGTTGTGTACGTTTATTTATGTTCGCGTTATAAAATATCACCGAGAGAATAAATATATTCTATCTCAAATCCTACACTAGTGACCATGAAGAGTTAAACGATTCTAGTAATAATAAATATTTTTTATTTAAACAATAATAATAAGTATTTGAATAATTTATACGAATATATTTAACTATCAATGTACTATAAACGTGATATTAAAAAATTATAGCGCATGGAAAACGCGGCAATATCCAGGGTGTACCTACCATGCACACTTTGACAGCTAAAGCGCTACTGAATGGATTTCCGCAAGATAACATTGTATCTTCCTCCAAGGTGCAATGGATTCTATCCCGTTTGATCATCAGACAGCCTATATTACCATTGATGGATAAATATTACATTAAAGGGGGCGGCTTCCCTAAGGATAAGTCGTACATCCCATCAAAGTGGGACCACAACGTAACACCGATGATTGATAAGAGCGTTGAGTCAATCAGGTAAATATATTTTTAATGAAACAAAACTGAAGATTAAATGACACTTCGGCAGAAGATTGTTTATAAAAAATAGTACATGCAACAATTTTCTATTATTTTTCGAAAAAAATCTTAGTGAAAAATTTTAATATCACATAATGTATTCAATACTATTTAGATCAGTGCTCGGAACTTATTATCCGAATCAGTGCTCGAAATTAATTGCATATTTCGGGCTGATTTGCTTACTTTTTCCCCACTACCATTCAACGTTCGATGGCCAAACCGTCGAATCGCGCGTGGACGTGTATCTCAGGAGCGTCGCAGTATAAAAAATACTGCGATCGTACTTTTCAGCAAATTATCAGTAAAAATACTTCCCTTCTTACGTAATTGTTATTTTCTTAATAATGGTAATTGGACATCATACTAATAAGTAAATGCATTTTAGTGAATGTAATGTACTTTTAAAATATTACTTTAATATTTTTATAATACACTCGGTTTCTTTGAAAGAACTTCTGACCACGCTTTTGTGCCACAGAATGTAATATTCTATAATATAGAATTTTACTTTACCGCTTCATATGTTTGATCATTTTTTTGTATTTTTTTTTAATGGAATAAATCTGAATGCACTTAAAAGACGCATCAATAATAGAATTTCAAAGATAATATCAAAAATTATTGTTCACATTACAATTATCATATTATAATTAAATATATTAAAAAGGATTACAAACCAAGTGAAAACACAAAAAAGTGCTAAGCAAAATATATTAGTAAGCGTTAAAACAAAAATTATAGAAATGAATATAAAACAAACGGCGTTTTGACTCCGATCGAGTCATTATCAATGTTAGACATGTAAAAACTTTTAATAAATTAATAACATAAACATATTTGAAATAACAACTTATAACTAAAAATTACGAAAATAAAAACTTTTTTAATTGTACTGATTTCAGCTGGATGTACAAAAAGATAGTAAAACAACCTACTATGATTATCGCAACAATATTAAAAATATTGCTGTTGTATCCAATAGAGATCATCTTTGTAATTGTGCGCAAGATGATACAGAGAAAACTCGCTATAGACATGTCGCAATAAATTGATTAATATATAAAGTTCATTTTGATGAAAAATAGTTAATAAAACAGTCTGTCAAAATAACAATAGAAAGTATAAAATAAGGAATGTTCGTTAATAAAAGGCTTAAAAAAAAATCATTAATATAAATATCTTCAAAATATTTTCAATACTAAGTATTATCAGTCAGAATGTGAAAAAATGTAATATCGGTTGTATAAAATTTGATGATTTGAATAAAATTTGATCGGTTGTATGAAATTCAAAAAGCAATCAGTCTGTTAAAATAATATATTGTCTGAAAAAATATTCGTTGATAAAGAGCTCATATAAAAAAGGAAAAAAATCTTAAAATAAATACCTTAAAATTAGTTCCAATGTTAAATAAAATATTATCAGTCAAAATATAAAATTATCGGTAGAACAAAAGATATAAAACTGAAAATACAAACAGTGTATCGATATATGTACAACAATAAGATAAATAAGCAATTTGCGATGGAACTTCCTTGATATCCAAAACGGTAATGAGAAAAACTGATAAGAAGTAAGAAGCACAAAGAAGGGGATACGAAATAAAGGAGAAAGGGTAACAATTAAGAGGGGGAAAAAAGAAAGTTAAGAAGGAGAAAGAGACTGAATAATAGGAAGATAAGATTCATGTTTTGCTTATTTAGATTCTGTTTTTGCTCTCCTTTATATGAACCATTTCCGATATCAAGCGTTTATTATAGAAAGGTTCTCTATCAAGAATTCTCACTTTATCCCAGTCAAATTCATGGTTACAATTCACTCGATGGTTCATAATGACTGATGGCGATCCCGTTTTTTTCTTTATATCAGACATATATTCTTGTAGTTTGGTTTTTAGCTTTCTCTTGGTTTGCCCAACGTAACTAGCAATCTACACAAAATATTTTGTAAACAACTTCCTAATTAGAGAGAAAGTTCTTTGCCCTTTTTAATGTGATTTTTTAGGGTATTCAGAATGGAATAAGTCAAATCACAGTTCATTTTCCAACCAACCTAAAGCTTTCGGAGAGAGACTTAGTATAAGAGATGGTAAACAACTTTTTAGCACGAATATTATTGTTAAGAGCGTAAGAATTTTGTGTACTGTTGTTCCTATGAATATGATAATTCAATCTTATTAGTGGAGAAGATGAAATGAAGTGGATAACATTTTTGTAAAAATATATTATAATCTCAATAAGATTTTTTTTCTCGAAAACAGGATGAAACAACAATATAATTCAGTCTACTGCATCCATGACAACGCATTCTACAACATCCAACATCTCTTTTGACACAATGGATGATGAAAGTGGAAGTTAAGAAATCTTCCCGAGAAAGTCGGTTTTTTTATGCTTACCAAAAATAATTGAGTTATTGTCAACAATGATGGTGATGTATAAAAAATTCAATTTATCATTGGTCTCAACTTTCATGGTGAACTACATATAATCGGGGATATAAAAAATTAAAAACGTTTTAAACATCGTTCAAAATAACAGAAGGAGCCACCAGAATAATATCATCCACATCTGTAATAGAATAAAGATTGCAATGGTAAACTTTCTAAAGCAAAAGACTCAAAATCTTGTACTACTTCAGCTATTACAGGGGACAATGGAGACCCTATTGGGGTACCAAAAATTAGTTTATAGGATACGTTATTAAAAGAAAAAAAAACAATTAAATTCAAGACAAAGCGTATGGCTAAAAGAAATTCGTCTAAAGGTATAGTAGTATTAAATATATGACTCCATCTCTTTACGATGCTCTCAAACGCCAATTCTATGGAAACATTTGTAAATAGTGAAACCAAATCTAAAGATGCCAAAGTATAGCTAGGATCAAGAAACGTTCCGTTAGCTTGTCCACCAAATGAAAGCTGTTTTTCACCTGGCCACATCCCTCAGAAATACTACTTATTTTCGTAGTTTGTAATTTTTAGTTATAGGTCATTGTTATTGTCAAATATGTTTATATTATTAATTTATTGAAAAGTTTTACACATCTAACATTGATAATGATCCGATCGGAATCGAAACGCCGTTTGTTTTATATTCATTTCTATTTAATTTTCTTTTAATTTGTTTTAGCACTTACTAATATATTTTGCTTGGCACTTATATTTTTGTTTTTTCACTTAGTATGTAACTCTTCTTAATATATATTTTATTAATTAATTTATTATTTTAACATTCACATCATACATTTTATCATATTGTAATTATTGTCAATTATATTGCAAAATATATATATATTTTAATAATGGAAAGTTTGATTTAATTGAGAAATTAACAATTATGCAGAAAGGAAAATATTTTAATGATAATTTACTGGAATTGAATGGTCGCAGTATATTCCTTATAATGCGATGTTCTTGAGATACAAGCCCGCACACGATCCGGCGGCTCGGCCATCGAGCATTAAGCAGTAGTAAGAAAATTAGTCGGCATTTCAGAAATTGAGCACTGATCTGGATAATAAGTTTCATTTAAATTTTACCGCCGCAACGGTGTCTCGTTGTGCATGCGTGTCGAGTTTGTTGATTTATTGATAAGAGATTGAAGCGATTTTCAATTATTAATTCAGTGCATACGCATTGTAGTGCATGTTTATAATGTTTAAACAAATCGCGACGCCTACTGTTTGTAAAAAACAGTAATCTTAAATGTTTCTTAAATGCGGGGAACATTAATGCGGCAGAAATTCACTGTTAAATTTGTGAAATATATAGAGAACAATGAATGATTCAATTCAAATACCAAGATGAGTGCGACTTTTCAACGAAATATGCGAAAATGTACACAACAATGAACAGAACGAACGACCGTCTCTGATTAATGACGATTTGATGCGTATAGTTGAAGAGACAATTTGAGAGAACTGACGATTCATTATTACATCTCTCTCTCTCTCTCTCTCTCTCTCTCTCTCTCTCTTTCTCTCTCTGCAATTCCAAGAAATTTCATACACAGCAACATTCCAACGAAAAGAAATAACGCCTGATACCCCACTCTAATAAATGCATCAACAATGACGGCAACTATGTAACAAAATCGTGAAAGTGTATACTCTAAAGAGCAATAAAAATTTTCTGTAAATATTATATGTACTTGTTTTCTTTTAATAGGCCATCGGAACATATTTTTGAGATAACTCATAATTTGTTAAATTTATAGAGTTCTAAAAAAAAATACATAAACTTTTTCAAATTTTACAAGTTTGGTTCAATTATAAAATGAAATCTTTTGTAGGAATGTCCTCAACAGCGCTATGATATTTTGCTACAACTTTGCCAAACCACCAACAAAAACTGACATGGCCCATAAGAGATATATATGGTAGTCTTGCGTGTTATATGGACGTTAATATGGAAATGGCTTGGCATTTACAATAAATTTATTAAAAAGTTTAACGTGATCTTCGACAGACACATGCTTGTGCCTTATATGAAAGTCCGATATTCGGCAATTTCCTAATCTGAATAGTCGTAAAGGAGGATGTTAAATTAGAGCCGTTTTTCGGCCAAAATGAGAAAGTTCTGAGATGTACATATATAATATTAAACAGCTACTCAAGCGGATTCGAATGGTATATCACCTATTTTGGGAAAACATCAAAATCATGGGAAAATTCGTCTTTAAAATTCTTAGATTTAAATCTGAAAAGATGATTATATAAAATTTTTTAAATAAATACCACATATCATTACAATCCGAAGCGCCACTACGGTCTAAGTATTAAGATGTTGAACTAATATATATATTATTCAAACGAATGAATTAATTTCAGAAATAATAATTACGTGTCGATATGGTTGTCGACATTAACGCAATTAATCCGAAATGTAATAATCTCCCCCAAAATTCCCCAAATTAATCTTAAAAAACTGTAAATAAACTTATTGCGAAAAAATATTGCCTCGGCCGGGAGTCGAACCCGGATCTCTTGCATTCCGTGCGAGAAATACCACATATATTTATATACTGGAGGTATTAAAAATATTTTAAAAAACAATGATGATGCTTTTTATGTTTTATTAAGCGTTCCACTTGATGCTTATAATTCTCGCGATCATCACTTATGCTTTTTGATAAACATCAAAGATGAAATGATTGCACAAGTGTTAAAAGCGTTTACGTACCTGAAAGAAAGATGTTTCCTTATATATATTGATTATTGCAAAGAATATTATTAAGATTTTGGTAGTCTAAAGTCTCAGAACTCTCGTACGAAATATAAGAGATTCGAGTTCAACTCCTGGCCAAGGTAATATTTTTAGCAATAAAATATATATAGTTTTTCAGCATATTAACATCTTTTTAATATGATGCCTCATAGAGCATTAAAAAAATTGCTTGTCAATTTAATTCATGATATTACTACAGTAGTTTTATTGCGTTTATATGTTCGGAAAACTAATTCGGCGCGCAGTTTCAATGAAGTATGATATATATGCAAGTACATATATAGTATACCCATACAGCACAGAATGTTGAAAGAAAATTGTTGAGATGTTGCAATGTTGAAACGTCAATGTTTTATCAATGCTGTATTTATATTGAATCTCTATACATTGATTATTAATGTTGCTGCAACATTGAAATATTGAATAAATTGAACCACGAGTTGAATTTTTATTAATTTTTCCACATTGATTGTTAATGTTGCTGCCATGTTGAAACGACTGAATAAATTATATCAGTAGCAAAGATAGGCCAGTTCTAATGGATTCCGAGGGGGAAGAGGGATTAAGGTGCCAGAAGGGGGAGGGGTATCCGCGGCGGGAAGGGGGGCGATGTCACGGAGGAGAGGGAAGAGAATGACGTCGCAAGGGGTAATGTCACTGGGCGATGACATCCCGGGGAGCGGAGGAGGAATATGACATCACAGTGGATGACGTCACTATGTGAGGAGGATGACATCACAGGAAGTGACATCACAAGACAAGGAGAATGAGATCACAAAGGGTGACGTCGCAAGGATGACGTTGCGGAAAAGGGGAGGTTGGTGCAAGGAACAAGGATATCAATGAATGTGAGATATGCGGGGAAATTACGTCGCAGGAAACTACATAACGCGAGATG